TGTGTGTGTGTGTGTGTGTGTGTGTGTGTGTGTGTGTGTGTGTGTGTGTGTGTGTGTGTGTGTGTGTGACTGATCTGCACAGCTTTTTCGCTGATATTAGTTCGAAAAATCTGAGAATTGGCTTCTTATTGTGTTGGTGTTGTCATATTTATATACGTGATTTGTTTTGTTTTCCACAGGGGAAACCGTCTCCACCTGCGCTGGTGTTCAATCATCTTTTTACAGACATCAAAGAGGAACCAGGACACCCCACCCTGGTCCATCCCAGGTACTACAGCTCACCTGTGTTGGCTCGCCTCCTCTGAAGCCACAGCCACCATTTTCATTTAAGAGTTTAATTTTTTCTCATTTTGTCCAAACATTTAGTGCACGCACGCACGCACGCACGCACACACACACACACACACACGTTCTAAAACGATCTGGTGATTAAAAATCACAGAAGATGAAGACAGAACAAAAGAGCACCTCTGCTCCCGTGTGCGCAGGGTTCCTCCAATCTTAGTAGAAAATCAGTTTAATTTTGTTTTCAATTTTATGTTTTCTAAAGCCCACAAGAATGTTTTTAATTTCCTTTTTTTAATCAAGTTTGTCTGAGAAAGTTCTGGTTTGAAAAGATTAAATCGGAAAATATTTAGAATTTTTCAATCAAAGAGTGAAAAGGATTATTATCGCTCTAGATCCTTTTCATTTGGTGCCAAATAATCGATAAATATGCCACTTAGTTGGGCTTGTTTCTGTTTCACTGGGTGCTTTATATTGGAGTTTCTTTGAAGAAGCAGGAGAAGCATTTAAGATGTGTGTTTAAAGATGCTCAAGTTTAATGTGGCTGCCCAAGAGAACATTAAAAGCTGCTGCTGTAAACCTTCTATCAATACCTGAAACTTTTATTAGTTGACTTGCTGTTGAATATTTATACCACAGGCAGCTTCTATTTCAGTAAAACTCTATAAAAACAAGTTTCTTTTTGACTTTAGTTTCATTTTTCATCTGTGTTTCATAACGCCCGCTCTCATCTTCTCTGTTCCCCCAACATCCTTCTTTCTTCTTCTTCTCTTGTTTTTACTTCTGACTCTGTTTCCCTCCTTGTTTTGCACAGCAGCTGTTTGGATACGGCTCTGTTTTAGCAAACACAGTAATCTGGCCCAGATTAAAGCCCGGAATTAAACGGTTTACGGAGCGTTTGCTACATGTGACTGCCTTTGACATGCAGGCCAGACAAATTGGGAGGATTAAAGCCGCGATCACCTGCCAGCATCACACGACTGCTGCACATTTCAACCAGTCGAGTCTTGCAGTGACTCGTCCTCGCTGAATGCTGCTGCCACTCGTAGCGTTTAAAGTTTTATTGAGGTTTCTGCAAACAACCGTTATTTGCACACATGTGTAACACTGGCCTTCCATTATTCAGGTCCTCCTGACTCGCTTTGTGTGAAGGAATTTTAGATTCTCGCTCAGCCAAACCAGCAGTGCCTCATTTCCATCCAGAGCAGGAGAAGTCTCGGCTGGTAGGGCTGGAGCATTTCACGCAGAGTCCCACTGAGCTGTCAGGCTTAACCTAGTTCACTGCTTCAGCCTCAGCGCTGTCTGGAGGGGACTGTGGCTGTAGGGGGTGGGGGTGGGGGGTTCAAAGCTCCTCTCCTCCCTTTCTCACCACAAGGCTGGGGAATAAACAGAACATGCTGGCTTCAGAGCATCTCCAGGCAGCATCTCTCTCTCACCCCCCAGTCCTACCAACTACCTGGACATCTGTGATAAGCTGAGGCTCTGTTTAGGCTTAGATCCTGAAAACATTTGATAAGAAATATCCATATCCCACACTTTGTTTCCTGCCATCAGATGCTCCCGTTGCTTTGAGATAAAAAAAAAAAAAAAAGATGCCAAATGAAGATTGACTACATAAAAACTCTGACCTCAGAGATTCATTTAACTATTACCTTCCTTCAGCCTCAAACCCCACTTTTCTCTGACTGAAAGAAACTCACGCAGCGTTTAACCGTAAACATCTGCTCTTTTGTTTGCCAGCTACTACCTGTACACGTACGATAAGATGGTGGCTCCCAACGTGTCGCTGAGGAGGGAAGCAGAGATGAGCCCCGAGATGCTCGGCGCGCTGCTCAAACATCATTACGGCCACAGAGTGATGGGCCACGATGAGCCGCCCATGGGTCAGTACTGATGCACACACAACGCACTCACAAACACAAACTGTGATTTAATTTGGATCTTTAAAAGAACGCTTTAACAATGTCAGATTTTATTGTTGGTTATCAAGGCTTTTTTTGTTTGTTTGTTATCAAAACTCCTGTGTGACCTGCTAGAGCTCAGAGTTGTGGATGACTCTCAGCTACTACCACACCAAGTTTTAGCTCAGTGTCTAAAACCAACATGTATCTATTGGCGGCCATTTTGAATCAAATCGGCTCCAAAAGTTAGAGTTGTTGAGGCGCGTACGGTGATCAAAACCATTGGCTGCATTAAAATCTCTCCTCTATAAGTACTTGACATGAACACAGCGAGCAGCAGCAGCTGTCCTCGTGCAGCATAAGCAGAAATGACTGGCAGATCAAGTTCACACGACTAACTCAGAGCCGACACATGCTTACTACAAACACACACACACTTTGGCTCTACAGCTTGTAGTGATGCATCGAATCGTTCGTTGACCTTCATCTTCCAGCTCTGCAGGCTCCTGACTGTCGATGAACGCAGCAGTGACCTCCTCTCTGTGCGTTTGCATCGAGACAAAAAGGATGAATCACAGCAACCATTTCCGTCTGTCATTATTAACACAGCGTCTGACTGCCAGCCTGCCCTTCTCTCTCTCTCTCTCTCTCTCTCTCTCTCTCTCTCTCTCTCTCTCTCTCCCAACCAATCTGTCTGCTTTCCCTCCATCTTTCTGGCAGACACATCTACAACCACTCTGAGTCGGCTATCCATCTGTTCCTGTACTTCTCTTCATTCCATCCATCCATCCATCCATCCATCCATCCATCCATCCATCCATCCATCTGTCCATCCATCCTTGTCTCTTGTTTCTTTCCTCATCCCTCTGTCTGCTGTTGTCTCATCCACCCACTCCTCTCCTCCCGCTGCGTGCTCTCCTTTTTTCATTCCATCTTCTCGTGCCGTCTCCCTCTTCCCTTCAGAGCACTCAACTGTTTTCTCTTCATTTTTCCTGTGAAAACACACTGACTCGCTGCAGAAAGTAGGCTGGAAATGACTTATTATTATTATTATTACAGTTTGCCTCCAACATTAAAGGACCAGCGTGCCTTAAAGGAATGCGTATCACCCGCCCCCCTCCTTTATGCCTGGGTTTTAATAAGTCTTTATTTATAAATCAAATCTTCAAAGCATCAAAGCTTTAAACCGGTTCAAATTGTGATTCTTGCTCCAGATTACCAACCTACTCATAGTTTCCCGTGATGCACAGCTTAAAGACCACAGTGAGGGAACAAACCAGTTAGAAGAAACAAGAAGCCGGTGCAGAGCAGAGCAGCTCCTACACAAGCCCTTTATTCCTTTCTGTGTGTCTGAGGGCAAAAACACAGAGACTGTGTGGGCGAGCGTTCACTGTTTCCATGCTGTGTGTGTGCGTGTGTTTCGTTTAGGAAGAAGTTTCAGCTTCCATCAGGTAGCGAAGCGTGCACAGGTTTTTTTTTTTTAACCACTTCTCTCATCCTCCTCTCTCACCCCTCCTCAGATCTCCACGCGTCGCCTCCCGTCACCGCCGGCGCCGAGGAGGCCAAATCCCAAAGCGCCGCCGCCGCCTTGTCAGCCGCTGAGAGGGAACGCCAAACCCAGGCAGTTTCCATGGAGACAAGCAGCCCGGGCTGCAGGAAAGCCACCCACCTCCCCTCCTCCCACACTCCTCCGTCTGCGTCGTCGTCGGAAGCGGAAGCAGCAGCTAAGGATACGAGCGGCGTGGCGGCGGGGGGGCTGGAGGACGACAAGGACAGGATCGTGGTGGAGATCATGCAGATGTACAGCAGGCAGCAGGAGAAGCTCAACTCCACCCTGCACAAGCAGCTGCAGCTGGAAATGGTGAGGCGGTGGGCGGGAAAGATAAACGATGACGGGATTACCCCGACCATAACTGTCCCAGACGTTACAGTGTCTTCCATGTGGACGAGGAGGGGACGCTCACCTTCCACCTGCCCCTCCTTCTCCTCCAGGTGTCAGATGGACCCGACACTTTGATTTCAGTTCAGCCAAACAATGTAGTGAAAATTAATGTTTTAATAATACAATTTCATGAAGGTCCTAGCTCTGTTTGACCTCATTTTTTGTTCCATAATTCGCCACATGCTTTCAGTTAATGAGAGGTCTGAACTGCAGCCGTGCTGTTTTAATGCTGCTGTATGTGATTCAGCATCGCCCTGCTGAATTATGCAAGGCCTTCCCTTAAAAAAACATTGTCTGGATGGAAGCATATGCTGCTCTAAAATATATATATTTGTTGCCTTTTCAGATTTGTAAGCTGCTCGTGCAAGAGGCACTAATGTACCCCCATACCATCAGAGAGGCAGGTGTTTGATTAGTAGAAAAAGTTGGATGATTCATCTCCTCTTTAGTACTTTGAACTGTGGTTTCAAAATAATTTAACATTTTCATTGTAAATAATATAAATAAGTATTTAATGTATATTTTATTAATTTAAAAAATAGTTTTTGAGGTTTGAAAATCATTACATTTATTCCTTTTTTACTGTTTTACTCAACTTTATTGGACTTGGAAGTGTTAAAGCCCACTCATTTATTTCAGTTTATGGAAATAGATGTGACCTACATGACTGGATGTTCTCAGCTTCTGATGAATTATGTTTTTATTTGGAAAGTTGCTGATCTAAGATGAGATATCCTTCAGTCACAAATCGTCCATCAGCTGCTGTATTTGTGCTAATTAGAATTTTATTTTGCAATATTTCTTCCCACTTTTTGTCTTTTTGCTCTTAACTACTCTCTCCTCCCACTGAATCAGTGTTAATGTGTGTCAGAGGTTAAAAACACAGTTCTGAATCCTGTCAGAATTTGGGCAGCGTTGACCCTCCTGTGGCAATTCCCCGAGGAGTGGTCTGCAATTTCAAGTGTTTTTTCTACAGGGGTCAGTGCAGTGTCACATTATTACAGTTGTTTTCTTTGACTCCGTATCTTCAGGAGCTGGAGGCGTTGCGAGGGGGCGAGGCGGCGAGGCTCCGGGAGCTGAGCGCCGAGCAGCGGGAGCTGCGCAGCGAGCTGGAGGCGGTGCACAGCGAGCAGGCGCGGCAGCTCAGCCAGGCCCGCCAGGAGCAGCTGGAGCTGGAGACTCGTCTGGAGCAGCTCCGACAGCAGGCCTGCGCCTGCGAGCCAGGGGCCCAGCGCCAACAAGAGGCCCACTACACAGCACAGGTACAAGCTGTCAGGAAACTGATGCACCACCACGTTTAAATAAAACTTAGTTTAATAATAATAATAATGCATTTTATTAATAAAGCACCTTTCAGGACACCCAAGGACACTGTACAATAGAAAAAGTAAAATGGAAAAAAACTGTAGATGCATATAATGATAAGGGTAGTGTGGGAGAAACAGAAATGTGGAGTACAGAACAGTCATATAAGTTTAAGGATGTATATAAATATAAATATAGGATAAACAGCTCTCAATATCATTTAACCATTTTTGTTCTTTTTCTGTCTGAGTATTTTGTTCTGTAGAATGATTTGAAATGTATGTGACCCATCATATCAAAATGAGGATTAAGTCAAATTTGTTCAAAATGACCTAACTACATTTTCAGATTCCTGCTTTAAAAGCTACATTTTGATACCTGGATGATTCTGATATCCTAAGCTTATCCAGAGATATGACTTCATTTGTCTGTTGGCTACAATAATACATTACTGTTTGGTCTGAATCCTAATTTTATGTAAATTTATTGAGTAATTTTTGATGTTAATATAAAGAGGAAACCTCAAATATTGTTTGTAAAAACTTTCCTAACTCACAGGAAAAAATCCAAAATTTTAAGGTATTTTTCCTTAAAATCTGTTATTTTTTTGTTGCCACTGCTCAAAAAAATGCTTAAATTTTTTTGTGTTATGTTTCAGACAGTTCATTCAAATGATACATTGATAAGGCATTAATTTATTATATTTTGACAAAATGCAATTTTTGCACACGTTTAAATCAAAACCCTGTATCTGCCTGCTTTTCCACATTCATCTTTTGGACTTAATCCTCGTTTCGATGTGATGGGTCACATATATTTGCTCTCTCTCCGTTGGATATGTCAAACATGATTAATTCTGTCCTGCCTGAGTCACTGGAAGAATGTAAAAACAGATTCAGAGCCGTTGTTTTGGTTTCCACCACATTCAATCTTCACACAGACGATGTTCTGCTGGCTGGAGCTCAGAGCTGCAGGACCACCATCACCTTTCGTTCTGTGTGTTAATAGTGTGTGTTTGTTGGACCGACAGAAGGCCTGACATTCAGAACTTCATGTTCCCACTGCCAGAGCTGGAACACGAGTTCAGCTTTCACACAACTGCATACCTCTAGCTTCAAACCAGTTCAGTGTGTCTCTCATGTGTCGTATTCACACGTCGACCGTTCTGTTTTCTGTGTCCTCTCAGCTGTCGGAGCTCCGTCAGAGGCTGGAGCAGGCGGAGGCCGACCGGCAGGAGCTGCAGGAGGAGCTGCACAGGGAGCGGGAGGCGCGGGAGAAGCTGGAGCACACCATCGCTCAGCTCAAGCAGCAGATGGCCCAGTCTGGCATGATGGGAGGCAGTCCATCTCCCCCTCTCACCCCCTCCACCGGACCCCTGAACGCCCACTCTCCACCTTGCTCTTCCTCCATCTCTGAGGCCCCCGCCACTGGCCATAAGTAACAGCCACCCGTCCCCCCAGGCTGCTCCTCCCTCTGCCACCACCCCCCCACATATCAGCTGCCAACTCCACAGACACGAACAGTTGAACCGGAGGCAGAACGGAGCTTCTCATCTCCTCAGGCTGGTCTGGAGTCGAGGACCCCCCCCCCCAGTTTTAATTTAACATTTTATCCTTTTTATTTTATTCCTGCTTCCCCCTCCCCGCTCTTTGAACAGTAGTTAAAGATTTTTGGGCATGTATGTTTGATTTAATTTATAGTTTTTAACTGAACAAACGCTGCTCTTGGAAACCCATCACTATGTTCCCATTTGTTCCTGGACTGAAACACTCTGCGGACCCCTCCTCTCAGCGCAGACCACTCTTCTTCTCCCAGGAACTGCAGCCGGCTCGGCGCTCACACACACACTCGATGCTCGCTGGGCGATGTCCAGTGTTTCTTTATAACAAACTCCAAACACTCAAATACAAGTGAGTGGAGGAGACTGAAAAACATTTAAATATTTACTTTTTATTTTTCTTCTTTTCCTTGTTTTGGACTCCTTATAGACACAAATATATAAGATGCTAAAATATCAAGTCTTTATGGAGGAAAGAAAAGACATTTATTGTACAGAAGAAACCGTTTGCAGATGTTGTAAAACCTCATGAAAATATGCCAATAGTGATGCTGAATTAGAAGTGACTGTTTGGAGTGCACCCCCTTAACCCCCACTTTAATCCCCTTTTAAAGACAGAAATATAATCTGGCCTGGACTAAAAGACAAAAGCTTGGTTTCCTCTTCACTCTGCTCTGCTGCACCTGGACTCCTCCCTCATTACATCTTCCATTAGAAACAAAGAAGCAGCACTTAACACGCCCTCTTCCCTGACAATTGAGGGACTTTTTTTAAAATTAAAAACAAAAAACGTAAAAAAAGAAGAAAGCCTCATGTGTGGTAGCCACGCTCTGATAAAATGTTGGACACGTCTGAGTGTATCAGAGCGTTGACGCAGAACAACAGCCTCAGAGTTTCCAGTGGATGATCAAAGCTGCAGTCTGTCACCACGCTCCGAGGCTCCTCACCGGCGGGTTTTTACCCTCGCGCCGTTTGTCTTCTAAGAACGAGGGTGAAAGCAGACAGCCCGGTTCTGGCTCTCGTTTCAGTGAGAGAGGGGAAGAACTGGTGCGCTCCCTCCTTTCGCTGCAGACTGGGTGGCCCGGACGCCGTTGTGTACTGAGGGAGCCCCCCACGGTTTTTTCTTCTTTTTTTTTCTTCTTGTTTTGAGCCACCAGAATGAGGGCGGCTGCTGCTGTCTGGGGGCCCCCCAGTCCACCCTCAGAGGTGCACAAAGCTCCAGCTCCACATCAGCAGAAGTCCAGTCAGAGAAAGACAGGATCCTCATTGTCTCAGTTGCCAGGCAAAAAAAGCGCTTTTTATCGCCACTAAGAAGATCCGTGTGTACGTGTGTGTGTGAGAGAGTGTGTAATAACTGTGTAATGAGAGTCTTCGGCTAAACGCTGAGCTTTTTTCTTTATGCATCTGCTGTTAATGCAAACTGATAAGACATTCCACTGTGCTCCATCCTGTTCGATGCAGATATTTTGTACACAGCTTCCCTTTACAATAACAGAATTTAAAGGTGCTCATTGCAAACTGTGAAAGCAAACAAACCATCCCGTTACATTCAGCTGCATCACATGGTAAACTCATCTTTTTATCTTCATACTTCACACAGCAAGTCTTTACAGAAACATACAACAATGCATCAAAACCATCAGCCTTCTCCCTTCCAAACCACTTCCATGGACGTCGCTGCTGTTTTTATAGGTAAACAAATGCACTTGGTAGCTGGCAGCTGTTTACCAACAAATTTTTAATTTAAACACATCAACCTTTGATATGAGGGGGGAAAAGTGCTGGTTTTGTTTCTTCTGAATGTTTCAGGGGCCGCTCTTCACGACTTTGCGATGAGCACCTTTAAAGATCGAGCGGCGGATGGAGGTGGTCTGTTGACGAAATGCCATAAACGTTTTGTTCCATGAAAACATTTACTGAAACCAGAGAAAAAAATATTTAACATATTAACTAAAGATTTATATTCACTCTGTAAATAAAGTAGTCA